AAATGGCATATATCTATTTGTTCACAACTGGTTGCAGAGTAAATACACTAGCGCACAAACGGGAGAACAGAGCTTTAAACCTGTTGAATTGGAATGGCACAACAATCAATGGAAAAATGACAAAATCATGTGTATCATGTGCTGGACATCTAAATTTCCACGATTAAGAACATGGATTAATTCACGTCTTAAGTGCGATCTCCCTGGGTAATAAAGTGTGACATACAATGTCCCACTTTAAATTTTTAAACTTCTTCAGCTTCTGTGCATTCACCAGGGTGAAAAGTATCCTTATCCATTTGGTGCTACTATTGTCTAGAACTTTACATGTATAAAGAAAAGTTTTAGTTAATACTGATTATGCTAGAAAATAAGTTAAATAATACTTGACCGACATCATGATATGATAAAGATTTCATGACAGATGTACACAAAGGTCTTCTACCTAACTTTTTTAATGAAGGGAAGTTAGCTTTGTCACCATTACAAAATTCTAAATCATCTCAGTCATAGACTAATGGAAATCATGGAGATAAATTATTTTGATTGAGAGTGTTTGATATTCTACCTTTTCATCAGAGTCCAATTCAATATCAAGAGTTTTATTGTCTGTAAACAACTGTAAGCCCAAATATTGATAACCCAGAAGATCAATCGATCCTATGTTGGCATGGCAACGTGATGCATTTCCTTCAGGAATGTTTCAGGTAACTACGAAGTTAATTTTGTAGCATAATGACAGCTGAATGACATTAACATATATAGTATATCCCCTCATCTTAGAAATAATTTGAGTTCTTGATTTACACATGGAGTTCCTGTCAAGTAGGTTGGATTTTCAGGTTTTTTCCTATTAAGAATATTAAGACTTTCAAAGTTGTCATTGAATAGCAATCAAAAGAGAAACAATCAATCAGCGCTAAAATTCACTCCATGGCTTTTAAATTGACAGATTCAGTTAGCAGACACTTATGATTAAAGTAATAACATGTTAATGGATCTATGATTTCTTTTATTTTTTTAAAAGAAAAAAATTATTTAATCCTGAACTCTGAATATACTGAATATACTCTGTTCTAGGTTACATGTTCATCCTTATCTTCAGCTGTGATCTGGCTCATGAAAAAAGCCACAATTGCACTACTAATAATTTTACAAAGAAGAAAAAAGACCTTGCTAACCCAAATCTTAATATTTAATCACCCATGTTAAAACAAAATGACAATAATTACAACTCATTTTTACAGCGTTACTTGTGTGTCTCACCAGCCTGCTAAATGCTGTTTTTTTATACATGCATTATATAACTGGTACACAGAATGACCAAATAATTAAAAAAACCATAATTAAAGTAAGTCATTATGTTTCCCAACATAACAGGCAGCCATATTCAAACACAACAAACTATGTCATTAATTAGATTTGCGCATTAACTTATTATTTATCTTTTTCTTCATCTGTCACTCTTATAACTTAAATTATAGGTCCTCAGTAAGGTTTACGTTAATGGGTTTAAAAAGCAGTTGTGAGGGAATGTGCACACTAACGGTTTAATTATATGTCTTGTGTGAAGAACTCTTTCTAAGGCTCTTATAGCCTTACAATTCTACATACAGTACTTGTACATTGTAGAAATCTTCCTCCTACTAATGGCAGACAATTTGTCTTATAAAGTTAGTTTCGTATGTCAGCTCATTGATCTGAACTAACAGCAATTACACTCAAGACAGAAATGTGCAAATGTCTTCTGAGACCTGTATGAATCATATCCTGTGACATATTTAAGGCTGTGATTAAATATTCAGAAACCCACCTGCCTTCAGCCCGATGGAGCAGGTAGGTCTGCAATGATGATATAACAGTCTGGGATGAATGAATGGGATTCTTGGGGAAACAAATCGGAGTCTCCCCCAGACTCTCAGTGTGATTGATGAGGCCACAAAGTAGGTCAGGACTACAGGTTGGTTGGCTGCACAACTGGGCCAAGACACAGCACCCAGGCCATCGAAGAGCTTTCTTGTAAATATGGCTATCTTGACATGGTTTGTAACGGCATAAGTCATATTTTCATTCATTGTTTTCCCCCTAAACGTGATAAAACGGGAAAGTATGAACAAACAGCCCTGTAAAATACCTTTAAATGAAAGGACTTTAATAAAATTATTATTATAAATCTGACTGTGCATAAGGAATTGTGTTGAGGTCTTACCAATCTACAAATCTAAGTGATTCATGCATTAAACATGAAATACTTGGATTTGATGGGTGCTCCTGTAGAGTTTGGACTGTGAAAGGAACTCATTCATATTTTAATCACACTGGAGGTTCAATTAATAACTGCGTGGTTTAAGGGTGAAATTGATGAATATTCACTCGCCAAGTGAAATGACTTCTGACCCAAGCTACTTACTTTGGCATTAATCATATTCCCGCCTATTGCTCCTCACCCTCTGGTTTAAGTCTCTCTGGAGTAATGTCAGGCCTCTCAAAGTTTCTTTTGTTGTAATATGGTAAGCATGTTGGTCAGTCTTTGAAAATGGACGCTCAACTAAAGTGTTTTGAAGTTTAAGATATAAGAAAGACTACCTTCTACAGTTTTTATCTTCTATTCTAAAGCAACTGTTTTTACTTACAGGCACAAATGATCAATGTGCCATTAAGAACAATCTTTTAAACATGACACACTGAAAACTGGACCTCTGTTCCCATAGCTGGACATAAACACCCATTCAAATTCTATACAGCAGATATTTAAAACTACATTTTGCCCGGTAGATTAGTTCCAGTGGAAATGCAAAGAAGTTAAAATGGCCTGCTTTTACTTTGTCTTTCTTTATCTCTTACAGATATTACTCTTTGAAGATAAATCCAACAGTAATGGTACAATGATATGTCCAAAAAATATCACTGTTAATTCCAAGGCTGTAGCCCTCAGAGTTTTTGCAGAATTGAATAATTTTTTTTAGCGTATTCTGAAATAAAGGACGCTCTTAATGCTCATGTGTCAGTGATCTCCTTCAACAAAAGGGATGGACATTGATTTTTCTGTTGTGGATGTAAAAGGGTTGGACTAATCTGCTTACATGCACGACTGACCACACTGATTAATCAGGGATTAAATATGCACTTGGTTGCTCTGTCCAGCACAAGAACATTTCAGGCAGTTGCTTTTTTAAGAGCCACTAAGAGTCCTCAGACAGCAATTTAGTGATTTAATACCCATGGCGATGCTAGCTGGGAAATTAAAGAGCTGAACCGCTAAATGTTCAAATTTTAAAGGAAGTTAGTCAGGGTGTATCACTAGTAGCCAGAGGTCCTGAAATGCAAATGAATTCATATGGCTTTCAGAAGTCCAGAGGAGAGGTGAGGCACTTAAAACAAAACATGATAAAAAAAAAAAACAAGCGGCATTCACAAACTGAACTTTTACATGTTTTATGTGGGCATGTATTGAATGCCACAAAATAGCATTATTTTTTACCAGTAAATGGATGGAATGAAAGTATTCTATTTATTATGCATATGCTCAGTGTAATGAACTACACTAAATGGAGTTAATTAATGGAAATTAGAGCATAATGTATTTTAGACATTGATGATAAAAGAGACTGCTGCTCTTCAAAAAGTATTTCCCCTTCCCAGCACATAACTGGAAATTAGTTTATGGTTTTTACACAAATTCAGTTTTCATTGATCTTTAGTTTACTGTAGTTTAATTTTTATATGAATAAATAATAAAAGTATGGACAGAACTGAGTTATGCACACTCTGGCTGTTAACCAGGTAAGTGGTGGGGTTATACAGGTACATTCTTTGGCTGTAAAAAGTACTTGGAAGAGAATTAATAGTAATCTGTGTTGTTATTGATATTATAGTTGATCTAATTTACTTAGTTAAAACTATTTGTACCAAATGTTCTTAAATTAAACTAATATTTATTTTTCAATAACAGTTTAACAATTCAACAAGTCATATTATTGCTTTATATATATAATTACTGACATATTGACGTATGTTGCATGTTACTGATGTATTATGCAATTTATTTTCATTTAACTCACAGGTTGTTGTAAATATTTTTTAAAGGCCAATTAAAGGCCAGTGGATCATAAAAACCAGGAAGGGCATATTTCTCTTTATCATTTGTTGAGTTTTTATATATTTAGAAAACTGATATGGTCAGAATATTTTTTCGTTATTTCTACATGCTTTTGTCTTCATGTAGCAGTAACTTTAAATCTACCTTTAATCACCAACGATCTTGAACGAATGCATTGCACACTGCGACCAAAAACCATCAGCTGAATCTCCCCTGAGATCCATAGTGGTCAAGCTTTCCAGTGGCAAAACGACAGAAGAAATCATTTAATTGATATTGCAAAAAATGTGGGTTTATGTACCAGGAGAGGAGAGTTTTTGTGGATCGCGACTATGCACCGGAGACGCTCGGGAAGCTCTGGGCATACACAAAGGCAAAGAAGGTGCTGTAGATGAATAATATACAGTTCCAGACCCATTTTCCAGCCAGAATGAAGGTGTTTTATGAGTGAGAGACGGTTCTGTGCAACTCTGCTGAAGAGGCTATGAAGGACATGGTGAATACAGGTTTTTTCTGTGAAGATACGACAAACCACCACTGAGCTGGGCTGACAAAGTGAAAAACCTGATGTGGCGCAAAATCTGGTGTTGCGGTGGTGTAGAAAGGAGTCTGGACCCAAGTGCGGAATCAGGACTTGACAAATTTATTAACAAAAAAGCCTTTCGGGATATCCAAACCAAAAACACCTCTAGGAGGGAAAAAATGCAAAAACCAAAAAAACACTTTGGGAATAGCTAAAAGTGTCCAAGTGTACAACAAGAAGAAACTCAAAACTATACTTAGCGGTGGCAGCTTCTCGAGAGCAGGGATCAAAGTGTCACGGGAGCATTTAGAGGAATCGTCTGACACAGGTGAGCGTTTGCCATGGGCTTAAAAAGCAGACTGATTGTGAATGTCTCACAGCTGGTGGAACCAAGCTCCCTGCTCTCGAGCAGCCCCGCCTCAACATCCTGCAGAGGAGATAACAAAATAAAACAGGAAACACAACCATAACATCTGGATCCTTAAAGGAGCAGAGCAGCAGCAAGAAATTCCACAAGATGGGTTCAAACAGAGACTGGGCTTTTTTCAGATGGTCTGACCACTGAATTTATTGATGTCTCGGCTGACATTCCATTGTAAGGAGGCATAGTAGTAATGGATGTTGAACATACAGTTAATGATCAGGGTTGATCTAACTAAGCTATAAGCATGGAACAGTTTGTAAACTTAAAGGAGGGACTTCCTCAGCTGGCGACAAATGGAGGCTTTCCCTTCAAGCCAGCTAAACATCCCGGCTCCTTCAGGGTCAAGAACAAGACCTCACAGTAGGAACTTCACCTTGAAACCATGGCGAAATGTATGATGTCAATGTTTGTTTGGGACTGTTCTAGTAATGTTTTTTTGTGTGTGTGTGTTAATGTTCCTACAGTGGTTGAATTGAGGGTGGACAGTAAGATTAAAGGTGAAACCTGATTTATAATGGTAACCAGTTAGGTTCCACTTAGGGTGACTTCCTACAATCTAAATGTACTTAACCTTGTTGGAAGAAGTAAAAGTATGGACAAAAATAAATTATGGATTAATAGAGAGCTGAGCTTTTAAGCTCAGGCACAACGCCCGCATTTCTGTTGATGCCGTCTGTTGATTTCATGCTCCGTTTTACCATAATTTGAGAACAAGACCCTGAGATACTTGAAGTCCTCCACTTCGAGAAGCACTTCCCCCCCGAGCCGTAGGAGGCACTCTACCCTTTACCAGTGGAAGACCATGCCCTCAGATTTAGAGGCACGGATCCTCCTCCTGCTGCTTCACGCTCGTCCGTGAACTATTCCAGTGAGAGCTGTAGATAACGACTTGATAAAGCTAATAGCACAACATCATCCACAAAAAGTAGAGATGCAATTCTAAGGCCACCAAGACGGATACCTTCAACACCTGGGCTGCGCATAGGAATTCTGTCCATATAAGTTAGGAACAGATTCGGAGACAAAGGGCAACCTTGGTGGAGAAAAGGGTAGAGCGGGTCCACTGTTCCACAGCTAGTATGAAACCCACAGTGTTCTTTCTGAATCCGAGGTTTGACTCTCCAGAAGTTGCGCCAGTGGGATTGAGGAGGTCTTCGAAGTACTCCACTCACCGACCCACAATGTTTCGAGCTGAGGTCAACAGCACACCATCCCCACTGTAAACAGTGTTGGTGGATCACTGCTTCCCTCCCGAGATGCCGTTTGGTGGACAAGAATCACCTCAAGTCTTTTTCCATGGCCTCTCCGAACTCCTCCCACGCCCAAGTTTTTGCCTCAGCAACCACCCGTGCCCCATGCCGCTTGGACTGCCAATACCATCCCCCACAGCTGGTGTCCATCAGCGGGTGTAACGGGTTATTACCACGAAAGGCACCAACAACCCTGTGACCAAAGCACTGGGAAGCCGCCACTGCAATGGAGGTGCGAAACACCACCAGGTATTGGTCAGTGGAAAGCTCCACCTCCGCCCCCCTTCACCCGAATGTCCAAGACATACAGCTGCAGATCTTATGACATGAAAACAAGGTTGATCATTGAGCTGTGCCCTAGGGTGTCCTGGTGCCAAGAGCACGTATGGGCGCCCTTATGCTTGAACATGGTGTTCGTTATGGACAGACCGCACATGAATCCAATGACTAAGCACCACTTTGGTTGGAGATGGAGGAGCCATTCCTCCCAACCACACCCCTCCAGGTCTCACTGTCATTGCCCACGTGAGCATTGAAGTTCCATAGTAGAAAAAGGAAGTCCCAGAGAGGGGCACTCTCTTGCATCCCCCCTAAGGACCTAAGGGTGGGTAATCTAAACTGCTGTAAGGTGCACAAGCAGAAACAACAGTTACCCCCCACCTGAAGGCAAAGGGAGGCTACCCTCTCATTCTTCTGGATCAATTCTCTATCTTGCTCTCTCTTTCCCCTCACCCCCAACCGGCCGAGGCAGATGGCCGCCCACCCTGAGCCATGGTTCTGCTCAAGGTTTCTGCCTGTTAAAAGGAAGTTTTTCCTTGCCTGTGTCGCCTAGTGCTTGCTCATGGTGGGAATTGTTGGGTTTCTGTAGTTAACTTCAGAGTAGGGTCTGACCTGCTCTGTTTGGAAAGCGCTGTGAGACAACTGTTGTTGTGATGTGGCGCTATATAAATAAAATTGAATTGAATTGAATTGAATCAATTCCAATGTAATGACGCCAAGATGGACCCCTCCCTCCAGCCGGACAATGGATTATAGTAAAGTTTATTCTGTCGAGATTTGCTTTTACAGTTTGGAAGAGTATCTGCTTTTCCACAATGGAACGTGAAGCAAGACAAGCCCCACCGCGGATATTTCTATGATAGTTTTTTTGTCTGTTCAAAAAGAGGATTACTTTACTTACTTTTTTCTAAAAAAGTACATAAAGCAACTGAGAATGTGTATTAAGTTTGCTTTTGTTTAATGTGTCCATCTGGACGGTTGGAGAATTTAAATCCTCTCCTGTCTATTCATTTGCTCAGTTGCTCACATAAGACCATGTAGGTTGATTGAGATTCAAAAGATTTTTATCTGAGACAATACAGTTTAATCATTTGTGTGTTCACAGCTAGACAGATAGTTCTCAAACTTAGCTTTTTTACTTCAACAAAGCTGTCAAAAATAAAGTTCTGTAGCACAGAACTGCAGCCCATGGATACTTTGATGTGTTTGTTCTTGTAGCAGAGGTCTGCTTGCCTTAGCATTTAGAAAACCGCCCATGCCCACCATGCAATGTATATTTACACACTCATGTGCGATGCATATCTTTGCATGTAATAGTTTATATAGGTGATGGAAAGTCCACTTCAAAAGGCATAGAGAAATATATCATTTTACAGTGCTTGGAAATGGCAGTAAGATAGAAAAAGGTTACCAGGCCTTGAGGCGATTGTAGGTGGACAAATACGTCATACATTTTTTTCATAGAATCCACAGACAACCTTTTGCTTATTTAAAAACGATAATGAGTCAGAGCTGAGATGGATGTCAGGGATGGTAACCTCCTTTTGACCTGCTCTCTGACCCAGCAGGTGGTCTTCATCTTGGGCCGAGGTTGCCTTTTGGCACTTGTTGTAGCATGAGTCATTGCCCTTAACATTAGGAGCAAGACGGATGATGTCTGGATGCCTACATAGGAGGAGGCACTACCAAACGCACATCCACACTAACCTGGTGTTTACATCAGGAGCATCCCTTCATCTGACCACAGATGTACCCAGAGGAACTGAAGCATTCTGGGAGCTGCTTCACCTCTGCAGTTGCCCACTGCTGAATTTGAACATGAGCAGAGGCATGAATAAATGAAAAATCAATGTGAGTACAAGGTGTGAGGGTGCATGCTGCTTTTCCCAATTACTGTAAATGTTGCTTCAAGTTGGTGGAGCATATCAGCCCTTCACTGAGCCATCTGACATTTATCAACTGTGGCTTTGACGTTGCAGAGACTGAGGTTAGGCTTCAGTTTCATTTTATTGAATACAAGGGTCAAATTGCATCTTCATGTGTTAGTTTGGATCATTCTAACAAACAGAAAGCCTAAATAATTAATAGGAAGTGGGTGTATGCATTATGTACAATTACAATTGCAGGTTGAGATAGTTCATCTGCTATATTTGTTGGATTTCTTCAGAACCTTTTGCATCAGTTAATCTTTTATATCTACATATCATATGAATGCACATCAAGAAGACATATGATACATTTGTTCATAAGGGATTTTGCATTATCAGGGATCAGAAAGTGCAGAAGAAGACAGTTTTCTTCCAACCATATCCTGTTCAGCATTATTGTAGCATAACTGAAATCTGAGCACTGTGCTATGCCAAGCACATTTGCTTTGCCAAGGGAAGCTTTATAAATTACCCCCATCCCCTATTATCCAATACTACTTTTTATTGATTTAAAAAAAACATTACATGTATCAAATAATGCCAGACCTGACAGGGGGACAAGGAGATAATCGGAGAGCAAAGAAAAATAAACCATCCCGAAAAGGAGGAAGATGGAAGATCCTTTTGACAGAGAGATAGAGAAAACAACACAACTCTACAACCAGATGCTATATCTGTAGAAAACTAAAAACCTCCTATGGTCTTCGTGGGCAATCCAGGCGGAGAACCTTTAGGAGCACCTGCAAACGGACAGTGTGAAGACAAAAGTAAAAACTAGTAGTAGTCGGGACATTAACATCCGTCTCAGAATTGTACGGCAAATGGCTGTGTGTGTATGAACATAAACATGCCAGATACACAGCCCAGGTTTTACACAGTTTGTGCTCTTGTTATGTGAGGACCCAGAGACCCAGTCCATCAGCAGCCACCCCGGAGAAGAAAACCCAGGAGGATCGCCACAGACAGAACTAGGTTTTCTCCCAGAAGACTACAGAGGAATCCCCCATGACTGTAAGGCAGAGCCCACCAATGACCATGAGCGACAGCACACCAGCCCCACAAGTTTATGTCCCCAAATAAATAGGCTGAGAGCCTGAACCCAAGCCACACGAGCCTGAGCATCTAGTTAGATTGATAATTCACATTTGAATGATTTGATTGGTTCTTCTGTTCTTAGTCTTTTAAACCGTAAACTAAATTTATCCTTATATTACATAGGGAAATTGTTACTAATTACAAAGATTGGTAGATGATTACTAGTATGCTGAATTATGAATCCACTTTTTGTATTGTTATCTATGATATTAGTAGATATATTATCTATTAGTGTGGCTAGGTGTGATCCCGCTGGGTCTAGTGAGTTTGGGAAAAGGGCTCAAACAGTTTTAGCTGTTCTACCTGTTTTACTATAACTTATTTTCAATTTATGCATTTAAATTCTCACTTTTTAATGAAAATTTAATCGTTATGAAAAACACCTTCAATTGTATTGTACATGAATTGCTCTACACAAATAAATCTGCCTTGCCTAAATCCAATTAATGCTACTGTTTAGTAAGAGAGCTGTTTGGAAATTTCATCTCAAAAGTCTCCCGCCATGGCATTGTAGCTCCCTTTGAAAATCTTTTGTCTGCAACAAAGAACCAAATGGGAGAGGGTTCACTTATAATAGACACTGGCAAACAGTGTCTCCTGGGAACTGATTGAAGAAAATAATAAGAAAAGACACCTTCTAAAGTCTTTTTTTTTAGAGTGACGGAAATCTTTCAGAGGGAAGAGCAAACTTTGAAATTCAAATGTGCCACAGTGCCTCTGTAAGAAGACATTATGAGAACAATGTATGATTGCACACTGACACTAGACAGCAAGATATCTTCCACATACAAATGTCAAAATAAATTAAAATCCCTCTGAGGACCATCAAAGTGTTTTGGTTTGTTTTCTCCTTTGTTTTTTTACTTGCAAACTTCACTTCCTTTCACTGACCTTGGCAGTAGCAGGGACATGACTAGAGTGTTTCCATCTGTGATGCAAAAGGTAGCTATCTGCTAAAACACGGCAAATGGCATGGTTGCTTGAAATGGTCCCAAAGCACATCTCTTCAGTTCTCAGCTGAGAGAAATGCACATGTTTTCTGGCCTAATTTCACATGGAGTGCACTGCAAACAGGCCCATTTCTGTTTGTAAAGCAGCCCAGATATTCCCTTTTGCCTCAAGTGTTCTTTTGCTTCTGAACACAAGTGTTTGAATGGTCGCATTACAGCTAGATTCAAGAGCCAATTGAGAATGCCCATCAAGACTAACTACTTGTAATGAAGTCTGTATTTTTCCATTGACTTCTTACAATGTGGGTGTAGTCATAGCTGAAATTGTGTTTCTTTGTGTTGTAGCTGTTTTTAAAATGGCTGGCCTTGTGAAAAAGGACAC